CTTGTGTTTTGGTTCAGATGGATGCCCACTACAATCTCTCCACCTTTCCCGGTTCTCACAGAGGGGAAACTAAACTTAGCACTCCAGCTTTGTGGGAAGGAACCAGGGCAAGGAGTGGAGGATAAACTAAAGGACAAAGGTCAACTTTAGAAAGCTGTTCTACCAGATCTTGCTCAGAAAACTATTCAGGTATTCAGAGACTAAGAAGAAAAGGAGATAGGTAGGATTAGCAGAATGAAAAAATTTAAAAGCCTAATGATTAAAAAAAAAAAAAAAATCTAGGGGGCCAAGAGAAGGAAGAATAAAGCAAAAATTCCTGTTTTCTTTTGTTTTGTTTTATTTATTTATTTTTTTGCATAAGTCAGGATTCATCTTCCATTCTCCTTATCTGATTCCTATTTAAAAATTTAAAGAATAAAATTCAATTTGGAGATGATCCCCTGTGTAATATTTTTGAATATTTTGCTTCCCTTTTAACATCCCATTCCCCCTTATTAGGATGTGTGTCCTAAACAACTCAGTAAAAAGAAATATATCTCGGTTCATTTTGACATGGAATAAAGCTATAAAGCCAATCCATTCAATCACTTTTCTTTTTAAAATGTCTTGTTTTGAGAAAGGAGATAGTTTGGACCCAGGAAGGAATTCCAATCCATGATTCTTTGAAAAAAGGGAAAATAAGAATTCTTTCCCTTATTCAGTCTTCCACTGCCTACAGGGGGTCCAGTTCTTAAAGAGTACTTTACAAAAGAAGAGTGTGATTTCAAAGCAAAATGGATTTGAAAAAATACACCTTGATGTTCAGGATGTAATGTGTGGAAAGGCAAAAAGAATGTTTCCCACCCTGAAAGCACACTCCCCTGAAAGGCTTACCTTTTAATTGCCCGGTTTATGGCAAATTTGAGCTGCATTTTATGAAACCAAAGTGTGAAACTCCTTTAATGAGGAAGAAAAACCGTCCTGTTATTCCTGACATTATACATCGGAATTTTAAGGGCCGTAATGGTTGGACATACGTTGTTAAAGCTTTCTCTTATGCCTTTAAACTAACAAGCTTTTTAAAGAGACCTTATTATCAATATGGACAATTCTAAAGATTGTATGGAGTTCCTGGATATATTTTATCTGAAACCACTACTTTGTGGTTGTTGGAGAATGTACATTTTATTGTACATTCACATTGGAATTTTGTCATTTTCTTTTTTTTTTTTCATTTCTCTCTAAAAACACTCTTTCTTCTTATGTTCAAGCTCTAATATATATTTATGTATTCGTACATAAATGTTGATATATATTTGTACACACGTGTATGAGCTTAAAAATAGGTATTTTATTGATGCTTCTTGAAATGACAGTATTTTAAGAAGGAGATATATTCATGTAAGTTCACATAAAATCTGAAGACCTTTTTTTGGTTCACTGTTTAGAAAATTCTTGATAATTTAGAATCTTCCACAATGGAAAGTAAAGCATTCTGTCACAAAAGCGGGGAGGATGAGACACAAGGTCAAAGGGCATTTTAGAAACAAACAGCTGGGCCAGTTTATTTAAACAGATACAGGGACGAGGGAACTGACCTCTGTTTGACTTATAGTGGGAGGAGCAAGAATGTCATTTTATTACTTTGCCCAGAAGGAAAATGTTTTTGTATCTGAATTCACCCCAAAGCCATCTACATACACGGCTTTGCTGTATGTAGCATACTTCCAAAGAGAGTACATATAAGATAGTCTAGGATAATGATAAAATACACTAAACAGAATCAAATGTTCAGATGGTTTTAAGATCAAAGAGATCATGTTTTAAAACATAAAATATTTGGTTGTTAGTTGTTTTTAGATAAAGATATCTATCATGACCCCAGATAACAGTGTATTTCATATAAGTATAGGAATTCTAAACTAGTATCATTCTGAGAGTTTATGATGTCTTGTATGAGTTGATAAAGTTTTCAAAAATGAGAAGTTCCGAGCATGTATTGGATAGTTCAGACAAAGTGATTAGGTGTTCTTGGGTTTTCAATGTTTTATTATTTTTTTAATTTTATTTAATGAAATATCTTCATGTCTCCATAGCCTAAAGGTAGCCTACATTGGTGCAGTCAATAATAACTGATTATTGCCACCAAAAGAAAAGCACCAGTACCTAGTACCTGGGGGCCCTTAGTTGAGAGGCTGTGCTGAGGTGTTTACTTGCTACCTGGGGACCCGAGCAGGGCTAGCATAACCGCATGTAGTGTTGTCCACTGAAGACCTTCAGAGGCACACAAACCTCAGCATAGTGAGCAGAGTGTGGGCCAAATGATGAATGGACTCTACATCCTAGAACAACTCACATCCTAGAATGGCATTGTTGAGAAGCACAGATGTGTAACCTAAGGAGAAGAGGGAAGAAGCCAATGGAGCATGATTGGCTATAGTTTAAATATTTGAAAGGCAATCCTGAAGAAGTTTAAATTACCCCCAAGAAGTTGTCCTGGTGAAAGCACTTTAGATCAAGCGAAGCAGAAGCAGCTGACAGTTGCCTGGCTCATACAATGAGTGGGCTCTCAGGTGAGGTGGCAAATATAGTATTAGAAACAGCCCAGCAGAGGTTACCCCTCTTGATACCCATTACATGGGGATGATAAAAGAGTGAAAGCAAGTCAGTGATCAAGCTAGGTGACTACGAAAGCCCCTTCCAAAACAGAGGTGTAGTTTTTCTATCATTCCTTGAGTTGAACAGTCATGGATTCACACTTGAGTTGATTAGTATGAATTGGTCTTTGGAAATCTGAATATACAGATGGCAAGGAGGCAAGCTATGGAATATGGATAACTCAAGCCACCAAACCTTCTTATTCATAGTTTTATCTTTGTCTATATACACTAGCAATACAGTCATCAAAATCCCCAATCTACAAAATGGTCAGTCATGCTTAGTCTTGGAATCAACAGTAGAGTTGTTGCCAATGTTGATTGGCTCTAAATCACCTCATTTAAAATTATCTGTGTACTTCAGAATATTCTAGATGGGGGGCACAGTCGTGGCCATGCTATGCTTAGGACATTAGAGAGGGGGGTACTTGATACTATTCGCCAGCTGTCTGTCACTCAGCAAATTATTAACATCTCTTGGGTAACATGTGACCTCAAATAAGTCATTTAATTTATCAGAGCTGTGGTTTCTCATTTGTTAAAAAGTGTTCTTCCTATTTTTAGATAAATAGTATAAATCATATCCATAAAATATTATGTTTTAAAAAGGACTTTTTAAAAAGTTATCAGACAGACTTTCTTCACCCTAAGAGCCTATAGACTATGAACAGTAGCATAGATAAAGAATTGATTTTTGGTATCTTTACCTAGATTAGTTACTATGAAAATTACTTTTGGTATATGCAGAAAATTAATATTAAATAATTTTCTAATTGGTCATGCAGTGAAGGCAGCTAATGAAAAGGCAGATTTTTTTTTCATTTTAATTGGTTATTTCACATGGTGTTTGTGCTACACCTGTGCTTATAATGAGAATGGAGAATTAATCTAACCTTCTGCTCACATGATTCCAATTTTCATGGTTTATACAAGATAATGATAACCTGATTTGCAACACCGTTTGTTTTAGATTTGTGCTTTAAATATTTTTATTAGCAGTTCAGGGACTTCATATACAAGAACTGATATAATAAGTATTGCCAATAAGAGTTAGCACTAACAGCATCCTTTTAGATAGATTCCATTGTCATTATTTATTTTAATTAGTTCTCAGATAATGGAAAGACATAAGAATGTAAGATATTGAGAATCTTCAAATGTCATGGAGTTTTCATTTTTATTTAAAAAAAACCTGTCCCTGTCTGTTTGATGGATTGGCTTTGGGGAATTATTTTCCTACCTGAAGAGAAGAGACTTACAAACTGGAGTTCCTACTGGACTGTGGACCCTTTGATCATTAATAGTGAATTATTAAACTTTTTACAGTATTTTTATGTGCTGCTCATGTTCAATATATTCAAATCTGAATTGAATTGAGAACTAAAAGCACTTTACTATTTCAGAATCTAGGTCCTGTTCATTTTCTCTATTTGATATGTAACTCTTAGTATTAGGCAGTATAAATGGATCTTAAGAGTTAGAAATTTCATGAGCCTGACTTTGGAGAGTGTGTATTAATCACTTTTTTATTTTTCCAGTGGTGAATCACTTTTGTATGGGCAACAAAAGTTGTACAGAATAAAACTTATTAAGACAATTAAGTGACTTAAATATCGTAATGTTTATTACAAATTTTCAGGTCTAGCTGGAGAAAGCAAGATTATAAGTTCAATTACTGTATAGCTGTGACCTCGCCTTGACCTCAGACTTTACATAGAGAGAGAGAGAAAAAGCCACCCAAAGAAATCTCTACGAGGAATGCGTTTGTCTGAAGTCCCCAGCAGTGTGAGTTAGTGGTGATAAACTCCAGACATTCTCTCATTTGATGGTGTGCTGCCATCCCAGTTCATTATCTTAATAGTGGGCATTAAAATAGAATTAGGTTTGCAAGAGGTAGGAAAGGTTTCGATAAAAAAAAAATTGTAAAAAAGAAGTCAGAGGACGTATGATTGAAATGTCACTAATTAGGGGAGGTAACGGATGCCCTTACGGACATCTAGCGCTCCCCACCAAATATTCCCCTCCTCTCCCCCCTTGCGATTGAAAAGAGTGGTGGCTGGTATTGTTTCCTGAAAATTCTGCTAATTCCCCCATGAAAAGATGAAATGGAAGTGTCCAACTGTGGTAAAACAGGCAAACATAAATCAACTCAGAAACCCCGAGCCTGTGTACTCAAAGGTCACTGGGGGTTACAGGTTTTGCAGCATCTGAAACTGCACAGTGAGCCGGGGAGAGCCACTCTGCCAAGACCTAGCTTTGCTCTTACTGTGTGATCCATCTTCTCTTCCTCCACCTCCCCCACCGCTTTCTTGGGTTTTGGTTTGTTTTAAGGAATGATGATTTGCTCTACTTTCTTGGTTACAG